AAAAAAAGAAAACAGATGCCGGACGAGGATTTTGTGGAGGTCAAGTTCAGATTGTACGATGGATCAGATATGGGTCCTTTCCGATATTCACCCACCTCCACCGTTGCTATCCTCAAGGAGAGAGTTGTATCCGAGTGGCCTAAAGGTCCGTTTGTTTCAGCAATTATTCTATCTTTTTATTTTTATTTTTTTTTCCCAAATATTGTCTCTTAATTCTATCGTATTCATGTCCGAGCCCATTGGATTTGATTTGTTTTTTCTTTTATTTTTAACTTTATTTGTTTAAGAGGTGAAAGCTCGTGTGATGTTATTGAATAAGAGGTAACATCTTTTTAACCTGAACCCAGTTGAAGTCTTGAATATATTGATTATTTGGTAATAGAAAGGATTTTTTTGCTTTGATTATGACCCGGAATTGGTTAACTGCAGCTCGTGAACAATAGATTAGAACATTATGGGAAAGCTATAAAATGCAGAGCTTCTACATATATATGTAATTAAATTTTCAAAATGAGCTATGTGTTTATTTCTTTGTTAGCATCCAAATCCTTTGGGCTTTGCTCCACATGCAAAACAAGGCGCAGATACTTAGGCTTCAGTTCACGGTGCAGATCTTGAACATTAGACTGCTTTGTCTCAGCTGTGTTTTATATCCTTATTCGTGTGTGTGTGTGTGTGTGTGTGTGTGTGTTTGAATCTCTTGACGGATCAAAGTTCCTTTTTTTTTTGTGTGTGTGGTTGAAATCTTGTTTAGATCAAAAAATTGCACCAAGGTCCGCTGCCGATGTGAAATTGATAAGTGCTGGGAAGGTATTGGAAAACAACAGGACCCTTGCTCAGTGCAAGATGCCATTTGACGAGCTACCAAATGGAGTTGTCACCATGCATGCCGTTGTACAGCCTATATATGTAAAAGCAAAAACAGGTAGCATATATTAAGCGCATCATGTTTTCGTCATAGGGAACTGCTATTAGCATTTTTCAGTAACACCCAAGAAATCGTTCCATAAGTTGGACTCTTTGGTTCGCATGTCAAATGTTGAGGAAGGTGTATAAAAATGCTTGAGCACAAGGCACTCTAGCTCTAAACTGTTTTTGTGCAGCTTTACAAGTAGGTATCAGTGGCTGAATCAGGTTAGGATATATTAGGGAAAACTGCTCAAAGTCTACTTAGCAACCTTTTTACGCTTCAAGCACTTGAATTTTCTCACAAATTTAATGTACGGGCCTTGCCATTACTTATAAGGCACCTGATAAAGATCTGTGCTTGATACGTTAGTCTCAAGGGCTGATTCTTTCCTGTCAACTCCATTGCCTTGCCCTGGCTTATTTGTTAGATCCCTACCAAATTGAGCAAGAGTGCACTAAAAGCTAAAGCTAATACATTTTTCAATCTATCTCTTGAACCTTTGGGATCCCTTTAAGTGATGTAGATGATTCTACAATCCCTTCGTAATAAACACTGCCTGCGTGATCATTGCAGACATGAAATTACTTATTAATGGCAGTTGTAGACCAGTTGCTAATAAAGATAGGTGGACTCCTCGGATCATAACTTCATTTATATCTTTGATGATGGTCTTACCTATTTAGCCCCATTGAACTTTTGCTCGTCCATGGTAGTCGCACATAAATTCCATATTTCCATTTCCATCCTTTCTTCCATTTCATTCACTTCCCTTCCCAATTTTTATTTGTTCCTGAACTCTTCCAGTTCTTAATATAAACTAGTACGACACCCGTATACTACACGGGTGCATGAAAAAACAATTTGAACAAAATAAAAAATAAATTTTCTTTTTATAATATGTACTATAATTTATTCGTTTGTTATATCTTTACATTTTTTTTTAGTTATGTTTTATAATTAATTATAATTTTATTTCACGAATATAATTTAAACTAATTACTGAAATCCATAATAATACTTCTTGATTTGATGCATATATTCATAAAAAGACTAATTAAAAGTTAGTAAATTAGTGCATGTGTAACTAATCTTTAAGTGTCAATTATTATAATTGTTAAAAAAAAAAAACTAAAAAAGAATATTATATTTGTGGAAAGTAATGATTTTTGGAGGAAAAACGAAAATTTTGCCATCAGTTCTTTCCCAATGATTAACTAATTATATATATATATATATATATATATATATATATATAGATGGGATGTATTCATGTCTCATGAATCAATTGTCTTTCTTCCTAGTTTTGATTTTTCATTTCTGTTTGATTGGTGAAATTAAAAATAAAAAATCGCAAAACATAATATTTGTAAAGATATGGCTAATTTTTATAGGGATTCATATATTGACAACAATTTTATAGGGATTCATGTATTGATCATATGGCTAATTTTTAGGTCATATACTTACCGAGTAGGATACGAATTTAAAATGGAAAAATCGAAATAAGGAAAGAAAGAATTGTGTGACATTTAAAATCACTTCAAATTTGGTAATGAAAGAGAGATTGATGTGAACAATGATATATGGTGGAAATTTTTTTTATAGCACTATTTGTTTCCAAAATTTTTATCCGAACCTAAATACCAAGCATGATATTGTGACACGTAGGATTGCAAAGCGTGCGAGCCTACCACTTACGCTCAGCACGTTTTGAATTAATATATAGGAAGATTATTCCCATATACCAAGCGCCATTTTAATGTTTGTTTGTTTTGAAGACTATTCAAGATGAACCAAGTCTATCCAGCATAGTTGTGACTCGTGTTAGTTATCACAGGGCTGTCTTGCAACATAGTTGTGACTTCTAAGGAAATTGTGTACTAGTCATGATTATTTACCTTGGTAAAAATAAATGGGTGAAAAAGTACCAAATGTGTTCTGGTGCATGTATCCTTTGCTATATGTGGTGCCTTGTGACAAACATTACTTTGTTGTATTTTTTATTTTTTTATTCTTTTGCTCACTGGAATTCAGTTTTTGCCTTTCATCCATTTTTCGCATATAGTTTTTGAATATCAATCTGATCACAGAGAAGAAGGTCGACAAGGTTCCACAGAAAAACCTGTGTTCATGTTCAATATTGTGAGACTACGGAGTACGGATTAAGGCATTTGTCTTAGTGCACTCTTGGGATTACTCGGCGTAAGTAAGATTTGAGAAGTTGAAAAGTCAATAAACTTGTGAACAGATTGATTCATTCTTATGTGTATGATGGGGGTATTCGTGTAAATGTTGTTTGTGAAATGTATATGTCTTCTATAAATATGGCATGTGATGTACATTTGTAGCTGCAGAATGCTTGTATACCTTATAAGAGGAGTCTGGGCCTCTGGGGTCTCTGTGTGTAACATCAAAATACCCAAGAGTGCTGAGGTTGCTAGGATTCTACTGATTTCTTTTAATATATCTTTTTTTCCCCTTGAAATCTAATGTTATTGGCACTATATAATAAACATAATTTATATTCTCTTGCTCCTACTTGGGACGCCGACAAAATTATAAATTTTTAAAGGGAATGTTGTTGGGAAATGGGGTTGTCTCCAATGCAGGCTCGATTTTGAACTCTTCGCTAAGATGGCCATCCACCCAGCGTGGGGCGATCCCATTTTCATTAAATCGGATACTTTCAGGTGAGTAGGTGGACATAGCTTCACGGCCGTGAAGGTGCCTAACTCCCTAAAGTTAGGTAGATTCTAAGCATTGTTTTTGAAACCTAGCCCGGGTTAAAATTGCATCCTGGTTCTAGGAACTTTGGTCCCTATTATTTGAGTTTGAAGAAAACATGATTATTGTAGTTCGTACTTGATGAAGATATAGTCCGATTTTGTATTGTTTACATGAAACTCAAAACCTGAGCCAAACAGCCAAATGATCCAAAACTCAATAGAACTTCATGAAGCACATTTCAATCTCATTGTCAACGTACACATATGGTGAAACAAACATTAATACAAAATAATTGTCATTCACATTTAATACAAAATAACTATCATTCCACCAAGATACAATCATCGTCCAAAAGTACACGAAAAAATGAAACATCATAAAACAAAACTGAATACATTGTTTTCTGATAAACAATATACCAAAATTATTCTCAAGCTTGAGCCAAATTCATGAACAAAATAGGAGCCCAAATCAACATAGATAAATTGGTTACAATATCGATTTATAAAGGTTGAAACACTTAATTCGGACAAAATAGCACCAAATAGCACCAAAGAAATCGACAAGGGGAGTGTAATTTTTGAAGACCCAATGTAGAAGGCGATAGCAAAAAATCGCACCAATTAGCAATAAAAGTCTTTTTTTTTTTTAAACAAACCTTAAATATATAAAGCATCTGCAATGTACAATGGGAGTAACCAAAGGGTTACTAAAAATACACGAGGAGATGAAAGCTTCAAACTCGCCTAATGACCGTATTGGCCACAGAAAACAAAGCCAGAAAAACTGCTAAAACAAAGACAACAGAAAGAAAGCTAGAAAGCTATCAGACTAAGAACGCAACACATAAGAAAGAACCAGGGGGCAGCTAGAACCAACAGCTAAAGCACACTAAGGTAATGCACAGGCAGAAACAAAATGGATTGGAACTGATCTGCTAGAAGGAAAATATCTTCTGCAAGGGTTCATATGTTCCAGTCAAAAAGCTTCCTGCAAGAGAGGGCCTTTCTGAATGAATCATCTGAAATGAAATTTTGAACCCTGAGCCAATTATGCAGAAGACATTCTTGCAGCCAGCTCCTGAGTTGAAGTAGGGCATCTTCCCAAAGAGATCTGCTATCTGAACTTGTAACCATACTCCAATTGTTAGTGATCTGCTCTGCTACATAGGTTGTCCCTTCCACTCTCCAAGATGAGGATGTTGAAACACTAGCACTGAGAGTCTTGGAGGACCCCCCTACTCCCTGTTCCAGCACCTTTTCTTGCCTTTGAGTCTGCCTGGCCCCATCAAATTCATTCCATTCTGACTTTGCATTTTCCACTAGCTGCAGCTCTAAAACATATTCATGCCTGAACAACCAGTTATTTCTGGTTATCCACAACCACCATAGAAGGTAGATCGACAGAGATATTCCGTTTCTGTTGATTTCAGTATCTTTGAGAGTACAGAAATTAGATTACCAGTCTTGAAAGCAGAAACCAGGTTCATGCATATTAAACTAAGTTAGACCAGCAAGTTTCCAAACCTTTTGAGCTCTGTCACAAGCAAAAAACATGTGCTCAAGACTTTCCTCTTCAGCTCCACACCAGTGACACCAGATGTCAGATTGTATGCCTTTATGTTGCAATCTGAGTTTTGTTACTATCCAATTGTGCCAGCATCTCCAGATGAAGTTCCTTATCTTTGGTTTGATTGGCAGATGCTAGGTTTTCTTCCAAAGTTGCCTGATCCTGTGGCCATGTCCATTGCTTGACTCCTCACAGCCCAGCTTTTCCTTTTTTTTTTCTGTTGAATCACTTTATATGCACTTTTGACACTGAAGAGCCCTTTCTTATCATGGTGCCATATCCATTTGTCAGGGGCATTGAACTGGCTAATGTGAATCTCCCTGATGTTTGCAGCATCCTCAGGACTAAAAGTCTGCATAATGAGGTCTAAGTCCCAATTCTTGCCACCAGCTTCCATCAGATCAGATACAGTATTAATGTGGAGCTTGTCATATGGAAAATGGCAGGTAGGCTTAAAGTTGGCACATTTGGGAACCCAAGGAGAGTCCCAAACATTGATTGTCAACCCATTACCAACGCTAAGCCTAGCATCATATTGAAAAGAGGGTCTGACATCAAGCCAGAATTTCCAGAGCCAAGAATCACTGTCTTTTTTCTTGGCCTCCAAAAAGCTGCTATTGTAAAAGTATTTTCCTTTCAAGATTTTACTCATCAAACAATTTGGCTTAGTGTGAAGCCTCCAGAGTTGCTTTAAGATTAGAGCTTCATTAAGATCTTGAAAATCCCTAAATCTAAGACCCCCCCCCC